TCTGATTGACTTATTTCACAAAGCATCCTACCCTCTAGTTCCATCCGTGTCATTGCAAATGGTTAAGATTTCATTCCTTTTGATGGCTTAGTAGTATTCCAGTGTGTGTGTGTGTGTGCATAATACACACACACACACCACATTTTCTTTGTCCATTTATCTGTTGATGGACATCTGGGCTCTTCCCATTGTTTGGCTATTGTGGACATTGCTTCTATGAACATTGGGGTACAGGTGTCCCTTTGGATCACTACACTTGTATCTTTAGGGTAAATACCCAGTAGTGCAATTGCTAGGTTGTAGGGTAGCTCTATTTTCAACCTTTTGAGGAACTTCCATACTGTTTTCCAGAGTGGCTGTACCAGCTTGTCATAATGTTGATATGATTTTATACCTTCAAAAAATTGCAAGACTAGTACAAAGAACTCCCAAATAACATTTTCCTGATTCGCCTATTGTTAACACTTGCCCCATCCATTTACTTTATCATTCTCTATCATACACACACACACACACACACACACACACACAGAACTATTTGAGAGTATTTTGCTCACATTAGGTCCCCCTACCAATGAATATTTGGGTGGCATTTCCAAAGAACAAGGACATTGTCTTACGTACTGGGTTTTGTTGGAAACGGGAGTGATTTGGGCATGTTGAAATTTCCAAGGGAGGGTCCAGTGGAAGAGAAGTGAGAGAAGGGGTTGTGATCACTGAAGGCTTGTTGAAGGGTCCAGAGAGTGGGATTTAAGGTATAGGTGGCGGTGTCGGACTGCCACGGGAGGGACGGCTCTCTGTTGTGAAGAGAGGTGAAGCAGTAGGCAGATGTGGGATCTTTGTTCTGTTTGATAGGGGAGTGGAAGAAGTTCCTCTCTGCTGGATTCTGTTTCCTTTGTCAATGAGGAATTGAGCAGATCTACTGAAACGAGCAGGGAGGTGTGTGACAGATGGGAAAGGTCTGAGTTGAAGAAGGTTGGAGAAAACACGAGACTCAAGGAGAGGGGAAGAGGGAGTTATGGGATGAGGATCTCAAGATTCATGTGGCCCCACAGCCCATTTCAGGCTGATGCTCATTCATTTTGGGTGAGCCAGCTTGTCCTAGCACTGGAGAGTGGGTAGATAAGTTGAGGGGGTAGACAGGCTGGAGTTTTGCCAAAGGAATGTGATAAAAGGACAGAATGGTTAGGGGAAGGGAAGTTTAGGGTACTAAGAAGATAATGGACCATAGAAGATACTAGACAAGGATGAAAGAAGCAAGATGGCTACTGAATGGGAAATAGAAGGGTAAATGGATGGGAGGTAGGCTGGGAAGATAGGAGCCTGTAATTTGTTTTTTAATTTTTACAGTTTCACTTATTGGAGCTAGACATTATTGAACATGCATTCTTTACGAGGTATTTTATGTGCATCCATTTCATGTAACTAAGACAACCACATGAGGTAATGAGCTTAGTCATCAAGTCATTTTTTTAAATTTAATTTAAATTTTTTACAGATTTTATTCATTTATTTGACAGAAAGAGACACAGCGAGAGAGGAAACACAAGCAGAGGGAGTGGGAGAGGGAGAAGCAGGCTTCCTGTCAAGCAGGGAGCCTGATGTGGGCTCAGTCCCAGGACCCCGGGATCATGACCTGAGCCGAAGGTGGAGGCTTAACAAATGAGCCACCCAGGCACCCCCAAGTAATTTTTTAAAAATATTTTTTCTTTCTTTCTTTTGAGAGAGAGTGCACATGGGTATGTGTGAGTGAAGGGAACAGAGGAGAAAGAGAGGGAGAATCTTAAGCAGGCTCCACAGCCAGCACAGAGCCCCACACAGAGTTTGATCTCACGACCCTGAGATCATCATCTGAGTTGAAGTCAAGAGTCAGACATTTAACCGAATGAGCCACTCAGGCGCCCCAGGCCATTGTTAGAGATGAAGGTGAGATGACCTGCTCAAGGTGATACAGCTAAAAAGTGACAGCGGGGGTTCAAACGCGCGTCTGTCACTCCAGACACCTTGCGCATTTCTGCACCTTTCTGCAGAGCTTCCCGGCTGTGTTCCCTGCTTCGCTTTGACCCTCCTCTGACTCATGCTTCACTTTGCTAACAGCATGAGCATGTGGAAATGCAAATTGATCGTATCATACCCTAACTCAGAAGCTTTCATTACATTTAAATGGAAATATTTATACAAAGATGAACCAACGGATGAGTAGAGAGTTGGGTAGATGGATAGTTCTGTGATAAGGAAAATCACAGCACAATGTTGACTGTGAACTCTAGACAGTTTTAGGGATATTCGTTGGATAATTCCACTTCACGTTTGAAAATTCTCATGTAAAATGTTGGGAGGGAAGAGCCTTGATTGAAAAAAGAAATGAGGGGCATCTGGGTGGCTCAGTGGGTTAAGCCTCTGCCTTCGGCTCAGGTCATGATCCGAGGGTCCTGGGATCGAGCCCCGCATCAGGCTCTCTGCTCAGTGGAGAGCCTGCTTCCTCCTCTCTCTCTCTCTGCCTGCTTCTCTGCCTACTTGTGATTTCTGTCTGTCAAAAAAAAAAAAAAAAGTCTTAAAAAAAAAAGAAAAAAGAAATGAAATTAAACAGCTTTTTATATGGGAACCCTGGCTGACTTGGATTCATAGGTCTGAAGAATCCGTAGTCATGGACGATGGCTGTCTTTGCTCAGCAAGCCGGTTTTGATGTACAGAGACTTCTTGTGTCTGTGCCTCTCCGGTATTGGGAAAGAATGCTCACATTGTGTAACTAAAGTGCTTTTAAGAGAGGAAAATAACCTCTTCTGGAGAAGAAGGGGAGCCACCTATTAAAATTTTAGGGCAAAGATAATCATTGTGGGGCGCCTGGGTGGCTCAGTTGGTTGAGTTGGTTGAGTGTCTGCCTTCCTCTCAGGTCATGATCCCAGGGTCCTGGGATCAAGCCCTGCATTAGGTTCCCTGCTCAGTAGGGAGACTGCTTCTCGCTCTGCCCCTCCCCTTGCTTGTGCTTTCTTTCTCTCGAATAGATAAATAAGATATTTTAAAAAAAGATAATCATTGCATTCTACTTGTGGTTGCAGGCAACCGAGAGGGTCTCATCTGTCCCTCATACTTGCTTCATTCTGTGCAAACTCAGAGTTCCAGATGTTTCACAGTCACAAGTTCTGACTTTGTAAGAAACAGGATTCTGTCTTTCAGTAGGCTTGCTTTTTTCTTTTTTCTCTTTTCATTCGAATGCCCAGTTTGGAACGTATTTGACATTTAATACAGGTGATTCTAAAAGAAAAGATAGGTGTCCCATCAATGTGCTGTTTGTTTACAGGAAGGATTCCTTTTGTTTGTATCAGTAATGGCACTCTTGCTTGCTGGGCAATTTCAAGGCTCCTCTTCAGGCAGGCAGGTTATACTGCTCTCCTTCACTGACCTGTTTTTTTCCCTTCCAGGAGCTTCCAGAACAGTGTTTGGTAACATGAGGGGCGAAGGAGGAGACACAGATGCCTGTCACAGAGGTGTTTGCTGAAACTTCAGGCGTGGTTGACTAATATAATGTGTGAAAAGACACAATGTTCTTGCTTCTTTGGGAACCTTGATCCCTCTGCTTCTTTCAGAAGCAATCAGCTGCTATCTTGGCTCACTCTCTGCCTGAGCGAATGTCCACAACATGTGACCGGGTGTCCTCAAACAAGAAGAATCTTGCCAGGCCTCTCTGCTGATTTGTTTTTATATATCTCTGTCTTTTCCTGATCAGGTGGTACTTTGGGCTGTGCAGAGACGCAGGAGGCTGGGGGTTCTTGGAGCTGGGTTCATCCTGGCTTGATATTTTCTAGATGAATTTCTTTGGGCAAGTTACTCTACTTCTCTCTGTGTCTGACTCTAACTCTAAATAAGGGTAGTACAGAATTACCTGCTTCGTAGGGCTGTTCTAGATAAAGCTCTTAGCACAAGACCGGGTATCCAATACACACTGGATAAATGTTACCTACTCTTACTAGTGTACTTATTCTGAAATTGCTTGTCTCATTCAAACATATGTCTTTGAGACATTTCCTTTTTTTTTTTTTTTTTAAGATTATTTATTTATTTATTTGACAGAGAGAGAAGCAGGGAGAATGGGAAAGGGAGAGGCAGGCTTTCTGCTGAGCAAGGAGCCCGACACAGGGCTTGATCCCAGGCCCCTGGGACCATGACCTGAGCTGAGGGCAGACGCTTAACTGACTGAGCCACCCAGGCACCCCCTCTTTCCAGTCCCAACTGTCATTTTAAGAGCTGCACCGTATTCCATAATTTGGAATACTGTCTCCTCCCGAAGCCATTCCTCCTGTAGTCTTCTCAACTCCGTCTATATAATCACCCTGTCGTTGAAACTGCCACTCCTTGTTGACTCTCAGTTTCACTTTAACCTCGTTATCCATTCAGTTATTACGTTCTGCTCTCATTTTAGTTCCTAAATATGTTATTTACTCTGTCCCCTGCTCCTGATTGCTCTGCCCTGGGTCACATGTTCCTCCTTGTTCACTGGGACCATGGCAGATGAAGGAATTCCTCTTGCTTCTGAGATGGCCAGCCACTGGGCTGAAACCTTGCAAATGCATCTCCTATCCAGCTGCCAGATCTGCACATCTGACCGTGCAGGCCCTCTGCATGGCGCATGGCTGCCCATGGCAGTCGTGATGTGTGGTGTTGGCTATAATATGATTTATCAATGACGACAGTTTATGAGGCAGAGACTGGCAAAGGAGGACCCCTTATTTTATTTTATTTTATTTTATTTTATTTTATTTTATTTTTTAAGGTTTTTGTTTGTTTGTTTTTTAGAGATTTTGTGTGTATTTGCAAGAGAGAGAGCGAGCAAGTGCACAAGCATTAGGGGAGGGGCAAAGGGCAGGGAGCCTGATGCAGGACTTGATCCCAGGACCCTGGGATCATGACCCAAGCTGAAGGCAGACACTTAACCAACTGAGCCACCCAGATGCCCTTATTTTATTTTTTTTAGGAACACCTGATTTTTAACAAGGAATGTCCAAATGATGAGCCCAATAAGCCACCTTTGTGGTCTCTAGAGCATTGCTGGAGAGTTTGTGTTTCCATGTTGCTGTCCTTCCCAGAGCTGGCATAGGAACAGGAGAGGGCCCCACGGTTATCCAGCTGAAACCACAGGGCTTGTCCCGCCCCACTTACCCATGCACAACTCTTCTTTGACTCTGACTTTAAAGCCCCAACACCCCATGCCACTGCGGTTGCCCAAGATGGTTCCACTGGTGTTTATGCTGTCTGCCACCATGGTCAGGCCTACTCCTTGCTTGGGGATAACCTTGTCCAGAAAGCTTAATGTCCTCTTCTGGGTTCTTCTCTGTCTTGTCCTTGTGTTGACCTGTAGGTCTCTGTATTTGGATCATCCCAAGCTGTGGGCAACTTGAAGGAAGGGTCTATTACAGTCACCTTTGTATACCCAGGGCCTGGCATGTAAAGTAAGTGACCGAATGTGTGTTTGAGTAGGCCACAGATAAAAATACAAATTATCTGTAATCTTATTGTTCAGAAATTAAACTACTGAATTAATTACCATTAAAGTTAATTTGGAATATACCCTCCCAGATGCTTTTGTTAGCTATGGATCTATAAATTTCTCGCTCATACACACACACACACACACACACACACACAGGCCAACACCCCACACATGATACTGTATTTTATAAAATCTGGATTGAATCCTACCTATTGTTTAGAAATCTTTTTTCAAAGTAATATATCATGAACAGTTTCTTCCTTTTTTTTTTTTTCCAGAGTTTATTTATTTGAGAGAGAGAATGAGAGAGAGATAGAGAGAGCATGAAGGGGGAGGGTCAGAGGGAGAAGCAGACTCCGCACTCAGCAGGGAACCTGATGCGGGACCCAATCCGGGGACTCCAGGATCATGACCTGAGCTAAAGGCAGTCGCTTAACCAACGGAGCCATCCAGTTGCCCTCATGAACAGTTTTTTGTCTCAGTAAACATTCTTGTAGTCCTTGGATTATATTGCTACATGGTGTTTCATCCGTATCAGACATGCAGCTTATTCTCCAGCTCAAATTATTATTATTTTTTTAAAGATGTACTTATTTATTTTAGAGAGAGAGCATGAGTGAGAGGGGCAGGTGGTGAAGGAGAAAGAGTCTCCAGCAGGCTCCACACTGAACGCAGAGCCTGATGTGGGGCTTGACCTCATGACTCTGAATCACCCGCTGAGCTGGAACCCTGAGAGTTGAGCACTTACCCGACTGAGCCACCCGGGTGCCCCTCCAGCTGAAGTTATTAATGGGCTCTTTCTGGGCTGAGAGTATCTGTTTCTCCTGAGGAAGAAACATGGTCAACAAATAGTGAGTCTAAAGTAGGGACAAGGAAGAAGACCGTTACTAACGGGAACATAAGGTATTCTGGGACTTTCGCCTTTCGAGCTGTGGCAGAAATGGAGGCTCCTCTTTCACAGTGCCTATTGTATTGAGTTGTTTTTTTCCATGGCAGGACTATGGCGACCCAGGAAGCCACTCCAGGAAGCCAGTCAGAGGAGAGCGACGCTTTGGACTTGGCGTCCGTCAACGACATAAAAGATTATGCTCTGCAGAGACCCCACCAGGAGGCAGACAGCGAGGCATTGAGCTCTGTGGAAACCCTCTCTCTTCCTTGCTCTTCTGATGTGGATTCAGGTAAGACACAGAGCTTAAAACCAGCTCACTCACACACACACACACATACACACACACACAAACACAATACATATGGGCTTGTGTTCGTTTGTTTCTCTCCCTTCCAGTAGCATCTCTGTGAGGAATGGTCCATTGTCTGGGGTAGAAAACATCTTATCTAAGCAGGACTGTGGGGAGAAACTTCAAAAGACAAAGCTCCCTGGTGTAACCAGGACACGGAGCTGTTTCCTGGAGGCCTTTTTTGTCTGAGTCCCTTTCTAATCTCCGTCCAGCTGCATTCTGAGGCTCAACAGGGATAGGGGTGGAATTGCTTTTTGTTTTGTTCTTTTAAAACTTCAGAACGTGGTAATATGGGCCTGTTATAGATGGGCCTGTGAGAGTAACAGGGGCTTTTGTATTCCTTGTATGAACTATACTCCGCATTTGGGGAACAACTTTTCTATGAGCTTCCCTGGCCAAATTGCCAAAAAGTCTATTATTTGAGCTTAATGATGATTCCTTGACGTCGTTAGTGACCATCTCTGGTTGCAGAGCCCTTGTCTTCCCCATTCATTGCCTGGACCTGACCTGGAGGTCCATGGACCTGGACTCAAAGCTCTGTCACTTACTGACATGGGACTTGTCTGTGTACTTGACGTCATCATTTAGACTCCTGTTAGACTTCTTAAATTCACTACATCCTAAACCAGATTGCTGATTCCTCTCGCCCTCCCCTGTTCCTTCTTCCTAATATACACACACCTGTTCTCTGAGGCTTTCTCATCGTGGAAAAGCACTTTTATCTTTCTGTTCACTTAGGCCCAAACCTAGGAATCCTTCTCAACCTCTCTCACATCCGGTCCCTCACTGTTGGCTCCACCAAATGAATCTGGAATCTAAAGTTTTGCCATCTCCACGGCCACCACCCTGGTCTGAGCACTCTCGTCTGTCTTCTGGTTTATTGTTACATCTCCTAACCACCTCTTTCCATACCCACCCTTGTCCTCCTACAGTTTCTTCTCAACACAGCCACCAGAAGATCCTTTTCAAACACAAATCAGATTGTGTTAGTCCTTGGTGCAAAGCTCCCATGGCTTCTCATCTGTCTCAGAGCAAAAGCCCAAGTCCTTAGCTGGTGCCCATGCCCTCTGGGTCCTGGGCCTGCCGCCTCTCTAACCTCACCTCCTACCTATCTCCTTGTCCTCCCCGGGCAGGGCCTCCACCACACTAAGGGTACGTTCGCCCTTCTTGGATGCCCTTAACTCCCGCATCTAAGAGCCAGCCCCCCCTCCATTCTGATGAGGTTCTTCTGTCCTCCCCTTCCCTGGCTTTATTCTTCTCCACAGCACAAGGGCCACTGGGCATCCCAGGGAAGACCGTTAATTTCCTTGTCTCCCCACACTGGGATATAAACTCCAGGATAGCATGTACTCAGTAAGTGCTTGTATGAGGAAGTAATGAGTAAGTGTAAGAGATATACCTGTATGGATTCAGGACTGAACTTGATTCTAACCTAAAACTCTGTTCCCCTCTCTGCTCCCCACATGTGTAGCTTAAAGTGGGTTATGAGTGAATTTGGAACATTCCATGGATCAGGAGTGGGAGTCATAGGCGGCACTGAATTAGGTGAAGCCTGTCTTTAGCCCCCTAGCACAGTCAGTGTTGGAGGAGATTATGAGATTGCCTCTGGCTCCCAGAAGAAAAGTCAGATTGTGTTACTGATGGAGACATAGCCAAACTGTCAGCCATCAGTGTATGCAAAGTAAGTTATCAACTCTTGTGCAGTGGCGTAAATCCTGGGACACTTCTCTCAAGATAGAGCCCAAGAGGCTTATAATGTGCACCTTGCACCCAGATGAGTCACTGTGGGCCTGTCCCCTTCGGGGTCCCAGCTCTCATTTCTTTCCTCCCTGCTTTGACTTCTGCCCCATCCCTGGGTGCCTGGGGCCTTCACGTCACCTGTCAAAACCACCCTAAAAACAATCTGAAACTTAGACTAAAAGACAAATGACTAGCTGTAGCTTCAAGTGTTAGTTTTTTCAGGAAGGTCTTTGTTGAATAAGACCTAGCCCAAAAGGAATGATTTAATTTCAGGAGTCAGGGACAGGTAGAAGAGAGATCTGGAGGCTCTGTCTTTCTGATGTTTCTAAAATGCAGTCCTGAACTCTGGGGGAAGTTGCTGTCCTCACTGTTTGCTCTGCACTCACCATCTTCTGCCTCCAGTTTCATAAAACTGTCCAGGGTCTTGGGTTTTGATTTTCTATTTTTTTTTTAAGATTTTTATTTTATTTATTTGACACAGAGAGAGATCACAAGTAGGCAGGGAGGCAAGCAGAGAGAGGGCAGGCTCCCTGCTGAACAGAGAGTCCTATGTGGGACTAGATCCCAGGACCCTGAGATCATGACCTGAGCTGAAGGCAGAGGCTTAACCCACTGAGCCACCCAGGTGCCCCGAGTTTTGATTTTCTATCTGTAAGTAGGATCCACTTCCCTTCCCTTCACTGGAGGATCTACTTCCGTTTCCTTCACTGTGTTCATGGGTAGTTGTAATTACAGGTTCCCTCCCCCATAGCCCTCCAGAAGATTTTGCCCACCTTTTCATCTAGTTTCATCTAGTTCTGGGTCTGTCGTTTGCTCAGAGAGACAGCCCACCTTGACATCGGTCTCTATTGGTACTCTGATGGCTACTGTCCTATTTCAGACTCTTAACATACCTCACTCCCAAGCCAACTTACATTCCTGGTTTTCTTGTTTGCTGTTGTGTGTTGTAAGGAAATTGATCTTCCAGAGATTGGAGAATACAGTCAAAGGTTTCCGACTGACAGTCACCACTGGGCTGTACCAACCCTAGGACTCGCTCACTGTTGGCTACCCTCATGTAGCTTGTGTTTGGCTTACCGTATGGTTGACCATCTCCAGAACTGGTAGAGTATGGTAGGTTGCTTACAGTGGAACGGAGGTCTGAGGGTGACTCCCGGACCTGGCTTCCCTGGCTGCCGGGTGAGATAGGAGCCAGGAGCTGACCATTAAGATTCAGTCAAAGTAGCTCAGTTGTTAAAACCTACGGTCCAAATTCAGACACACAGTTGGTAAGGGGGCTGGGGTCCATAATGGTGGCATCGAATAGTCCACTGGTGGCCGAGCACAGCCCTGCACAGGGTAATACAGAGAGTCCCCACAACTCCTGGCAGGTGGCAGGCAGTGTGCAGATGGCTTACCCATGAGTGGCAAAGTCCCTGCTTCAAGGTTGGAGTCAGCATCACATTTGTAACCCCTGGAAGAAGATCAGGCAAGGGACGAGTGGCCTCAGTTTAAAGAGATGGCAGGGGCAACTGGAAAAGCCAGCTTGTAAGGATATGGACCCAGGCTAAAGCCTCACTTTTGTCAAGGGTCCCCCATTTCACCACACAGCCACCTCTGCCTTCGGCCCGTCACTCGCTTGCTCTTCCCAGAGAAGCTTTCTGAACAAGTTGCCTGTATGCCACTCTGCTTCCTCTTACAATCATTCCTCATTCCTGGAAGCATGTCCTCTATCCCCACCACTCACTAGACGAGGCCTGCCCTGGCTTGGATGCCAATGATCTTCCCCAGGAGCTAAACCTTATGGATAAACGTTTTTAAAGACTTATTTGAGAGAGAGAGCACGTATATGTAAGTGGGCACATGTGAGTGGGGGCAGGAGCAGAGAGAGAGAATCTTAAGCGGACTCCCTGCTGAGCATGGAGCCCAACACAGGGCTCAGTCTCACAACCCTGAGATCATGACCTGAGCCAAAATCAAGAGTCGGATGCTTATCCTAGTGAGCCGCCCAGGCGCCCCCCTAATGGATCCTTCTCTGCCCTTATCTTGTGTGCCCAACTGCCATATCACCGTTCATGCCCTGGGGGAGGATATGAGTAGCAAGGGACAGGAGACTTAAGAGCACTTTCTAGGAAACTAATGGGTTGATAAGCATCTGAGAGTATTAGTCAGAAAAACCTGAAAGCCTTGGTCATTTCAGTCTGGGTACCCACACTCCGGTGAGGCTGGGCTGTTTCTGTCCACATAAACACAGCTCATTTGTCTTGAACTGGTGTCTTAAGCAAGGGTTGTCTGGCCACTCCTTATAAAGTGAAGGTAGAACAAACAACTTGTCACCTAAGCCAGGCGCAGCAGTACCAAACTCCCTCCCTCTGCCCTTCTGGTGAGATCTGGCGGAAGGCCCCACTTGCCAAATAGGTCTCCCTGAAACCGCCTTTCTGTCACATTCCTCTGTTTAAGTCCCTTGGGGATGTCATTGTACACCTCCACGTTCCTTCCAATGCCAGTCAAAGCTCCCGTGCCTCATCCTCACAGCTCTGTGTGATCTCATGTCTGGGGTGTTTGTTCACAATATCCGACGACCAATTCAGCAGGGTTGCAATATTTTAAAAACTGGCAAAGCACCAGGCAACATACAGGTGCGTATGCCAGCTGAATAATACAGGCCCCTGCCGGTGGGTGTCTAACTACTCATTAACATGGACCTGCCGCTCCTGTCAGGCTGGTTTTTGTGCAGAGTCAGGCCCGAATGCCTCTGCTACGTTGTTCTGGTCCTTGACATGTGCTCCTTCCACCCCGGTCAACGCCAGGCCACTCCAGAGACCGCTGAATGGAGCCCATCAGTTATCCGCAGTACACACTTATTGATGTGCTTAGATGCCCTGTCTCTTAGATGCTTGTTCCCTTTCCCTTTTGTTACTGGGCTTGAGTAGAGCCTAGAGTAGGAGAATGGAAGTGCCAAGGGAGGTGGTCAGTGGTCTTGGATAAACCCCTCAAAAGCAAAGTCATCAAGGTTTCCTGGAGTCTGTGAAGGCCTGTGTATACTACTCTGTCATTTGAGAAAGTCTGCGGAGTTCGTGTTATTGATCTCATCAGGGGCCTCTGCGACCTTTGTCCCCCAGAGCACCCCAGATGCGTTCTCATCAGGACAAAGAGCTCCTCTGAAGGTTTCGCTTCCACATTGCAGTATGGAAGTCGGAAATCTTTCTTTTTGAGCCATT